GCTGCAGGGTTTTTTTTGCAGTGGGCTGTTGTTTTACTGTTGAGGCATTTATACAAAAGAATGACTAACTGACCACTGACTGTCACTTGATCTGTTTATTAAAGCTTTAAGAGTTGGTGTATGTGTCTATATAGTAAATCAGAATCTAAATTGTATATATAGATATAAATTTAGTTTTTCTACAAAAATATAGTATTGTCCACACAATTATAAGAAACACCATCAGTCACTGACAACATTCACAACCAAGATAAGTTCCTGAAAGTAATTGCTAATAAACCTTGCTGTCAAGAGTGTACTATTCCAGCATATTTACTTCACTATTTCAACAACAAATTGCAATAAAACTATTCTATATTGTCCCAAAAATATCTGTAATTAGCCCACATTTTCCTTTTTCATACTACTCTTTAGCAATTTTGCATTCAGTCATGCAATCCTTTCGTACCTTCAAACACTAAACACTATAGCTTACCCTAACTAACAAATATTGAGTCTAAACAGTCCTTTGAAATAACATTACACACTTCACTATCCAAGTTAAAAAAATTTTCAGTTATATTCAAATTTATTGAGAAGCTTCTGCTAATCCACTTAATGTACAATGTCATTGAAAGTAAACATTTGATAAAACAAGCATAGATTTTTTGTTTTTGACTTTCTTGTCTTGACCTCAGACCTCAGGATGGCTTCAGTGCTTTGCTGAGGCGTCATGGTGGCTCCAGGAGAAACTCTCTGCTACGGTGGTGCCAAAGTCGTACCCAAGGTTACAAGGTTAGAGCAGAGAGTCTTGTTTGTAATACTCAACAAAGTGACAGAAAATAAAATCATTTTAGTTGTTGTTCTGTGATGATTATAATTATTCTAGTGTGTTGGTCTGCAACAGAATATTGAGATCACCAATTTTAGTACCTGCTGGGAGGATGGGTTGGCATTCTGTGCGGTTTATCACACCTACTTGCCAAATCGTATCCCGTATGACAGCCTCGCTCCAGGTGACAAGGTAAAACTACAACCTTGGACACAAAGGTTTTGTGGAAGAATTAAGCGGTCAGATTTTTTGCCAGTACTCAAACAGATCAAGGTGTTTTCAGGAAGGTGACCAGGAAGGCACCTGCAATCTTATGAAGATGCCCAAGTTTCATTAAATGGCTTTATGAGATATTACTTACGTGTTCAAAATATTAGTAAAAGCCAATGACTTCTGAATATAAAATGTGCACTGTTTGGGCAGGAAGAAAACCTTGGCCTTGCGTTCAAGACCGGAGAGAGTGTGGGAATCCCGGCCACACTGGTGAGTTTTTATTTTTTTAAATGATGCATCAAATGTTTTGTGCAGATATTTAAAATGTTATTCAGCTTTAAACCGCCATTTCTTGGTTAGGGAAATAAGCATGATTCTGTCTGTGGTGTGTAGTGTTTTTATAACAAAGTCTCATTTTCAAAGGATGAGGTGCTCCTTGACTGCTTAATATAGACTTCTCTCAATAAGAGTCATAAATGTCTTGTAGGTCATTTACTGTTTTAAAATCTGTTGAGCTCTGAAGTTTATTTGACTGCAATGTCTTTTCCCATTATCTTTGTGACAGACTGTGGAGGAGATGCTGAAGGCAGATGGGCCAGACTGGCAGAGAGTGCTGACATATGTCGAAAGCATTTTCCGTCACTTCGAGATGTGAAGACAGGATCCAGTGACTTGCACTCTTCCATTTTCCTTTTGTGGAGAATTAAGAGGTGAACAAGTGAATCAGTGCTCTTGCACACAAGGAACTCATCTGTCAGGATTTAAAATGTGTCAGAAGTGTTGAACTGGCATTTTTTTTCTTTTGTGTCAAATACAATATCGTTCACTCAGAAGCAGGTGCTTGCTGACTCCCTGTGGAAGAAACTATACAGCATTTCGCCTGTGGAGCACTTTTTCATTTTTCTACTTACACAGCAACTACAGTGGATCTGGGGAATAAGATCTAGGACGCAGAAAGAAGTGCAGCAGGATGATCACCTGCTCACCAGGTACTTCTGTGTTCCAGTCAGTGCAAAAATCAATGCACTAGGTGCATTGATCCATCCAATGTATGCACTTCCTTTACCTTAAAGAGCACTGTATTACCAAGTTAGCTATGACAATGTAGCATTTTTGGAGGACTATATTGGCATCTAGGTCACTTTATCTTAACTATGTAGTATGCACCTTTTCTCTAATCACAGTCTTCATCTATTCAGACTGGGATCAGACCATGTAGTACACATTTTATGCCAGAAGTCACTGTCTGAAATGTAAATGTACCTCTTTGATTTTTAAATTTTAATGCATTAATAAAGTATCTATCACAGCTTTTTATCCCCTTTGTATAAATAACACAAATACAGAGAAAACATTTATTTTTACAGAAAAAACAAATGACATTATATAAAAAAGATAACATTAAAGTAAATGTTTCAGTGAAATAAAGTGGTTGTAGTGTTATATGTAACAAATAAATACAATGCAAAAAATAATTAAAGGATTTGCAAGAATGCTTTCAATACATAGATTTTTTGAAGAAACATTAGTGGTATAAAACTTAGACCTAACATCAAAAACAGGATCTTAAATACATAATAATACAGAGAAGCAAAGCATGGAAAGAAAGCACTCTTGCATTTGACCTGGTCAAAAATAAATCCTATGAAGCAGGAATGGCGCCTCCTATAGGTGGTGTTGACAACGGTGGCAGGAGGAGAGCCTTCAGCTTTGCAGACATGGCTGCTATTTCTGGGTCCTGGGTTTCATACATCTTCACCAGTCTGGCAAATTTAAGGACGCCTGTGAGGGATGCAGCAGATCAACCCGAATCACATTTATGCAAAACAACCTTCTATCTGAGACATTTGTTATTGTATCAGTAGAGCAGTGTGAGATTCCATTGCAGAGTGCACTAATTTGTTTCTAAATTTGTTCTAATATATAGAACATTTCTCTTCAAAGTTCATTGTTTTATATATTCATTTAATCATAATGTTCACTGGTTTTGTATAAACTTTGGAAAACTTGAAAGTACATTTTTTAAAAATGTCAAGACTAGGATATTGAAACATTTTCACAAAGAATAAGTCTGACCTTTTGTTTTTGAAGAAAAACTCAACTTATCTGATAATTTAAACTAAATATATGCTGTTAGCAGCTAAAATCTGTAGTCATCAAAATCTGGGTAAAGATTCATCTAAAAAAAAACATGATCACAAAAAAGTGTGACTGCTTATTGTTCCTTAGTTTTTGTTTCAAAAACTATTAAATATTGTAAGACATCAACATCACCTTCTCCTTCATTGTTGAATCCATACGCCTTGATTACTTCCTGTTGAATCTGAGTGGCCACAGGAAGCACGAGCTGCAGCATCTTTCCCATGTCATTACAGGCGCTCTCCCGAGCCTCCTCCATTCGCGCAGCGTTCTCTGGCACTGCAAAGGCCTGGATCACTTCACTCAGCACCACTGCAGAACAAAACGAGCATCTGTGGTTACTTTGCAAACTTTCCAAAGCACAAATGAATACTTCCACAACTGCCTCGATCGGTAACTACCTGACAAGCTGCAGTTTATATAACTACCTTATTCGATTTACTCTAAATCTCAGGCTTCAAGGTTAATTTTGTTTTCTGTCATCAGAAAGGAGCAGATGAATCTACGGTTGTGGCTGTGATTTTGACCAGTTAAAACTAGGGGATCATTTTGAGGTGAGAAACTAAAAAAACAAAATTGGGTTAATTAGAAACTCTTAAGTTTTGCTCTGTTATCTACTGTGATATGAAAGGAAAAGTGATATAAAAAGATGGGGTTAGTTGCATGTTTATCATGGCCTTAGTATCTAAAAGCATTTAATCCTGGGCCTGCTCTGCTTTGAACTGTTTGACGTAGACAAGAGTCCATGGTTGCAACCTTTCTGCGAGGATTAAGCAAGTGCAGGTAGCCATATGTTGGATCAGCAGCAGCAGAACTATTCATTCATCTTTTATACCTGCTTATTTCCCTCAGTTTTACAGGTTGGACTTGAAAAGACTCATTAAGCTACAAAATGCTAACTTGGAGGGATGGAGGTTGTTTGTGCAGTCACTTATTTTATGTTATTTTTAATTGATTTGTTTAGTTTTTCTTAAAAAAAAAAAGCCAAATTTCGTTGTTGATATGCAAAACAATAAAGAAGCAAAAACATACAAGGGAGTGAACACTTTTGTCAAACAAGCAAACACCATGCGGAGAGGGCATTGTAGTGACGCAGGAGCAACATTTTTAATCATAATCATTAATCATATTTATATCTGCAGACGACTGACTATGTTGATAAAACGTCAATCATTAGGAAGCTTGGGAAAATATCCAGGATGGATGACTAAAGAGAGCGTTGACTGCTTATCGAGCCTCTTTTGAACTATTTTTGTTTGCCACATTGGAGGAAAAAGTCAAACAAGGAGGAAAATGTTCCTCTCACCTCTGGTTTGTTCAACGGTCAGTGTGGGTTGTTGGGCTGGAGCTGAAGCCATGATGTCTACTGTGGAAAGGGACAAAACACAATAACACCCAGGTTATTACAAATATATGATCTATGTTCAGAACTGGCGAACTACAAAGAGTTAAATGTAGCGTTTCTTAACCGTTCTAGTCAAGAAAACGAGACCAATGTACAAAAAGACACTGCATAAAGAATAGTATGTGTACTGGTGAATCGACATTATTTCTAAGTTGTAATATTAACTCATCTAGCAGAATCCTAAGCAACGGCAACAGAAAACGACGACAAATATATGTATATGTTCATAAGACGGAATAATCTAAAAGAAGAAACATTTAAGCCGCATGTTCTCACCACTGATGAAAACACCAGTCCTGAAAGCTAGCATCAAACAACACTAGGGAAATGTCGTAAATTGACCTAAACCAACAAATTTACGACAGTGAGCGACAGGACCTCCGTTTTATGGTACATGTCAACGTAATACGTAAACACACATCGAAAGGCTTGCAAACTGGTGAAATCACGGTTGGTTTCTGAAGTTGGAAGACAGGCGTTTGAATTAGAGTTTGTGTGCCTTTTTTATTTATATCATAATTCTAGAGACGAGACAAAGAGGCGTTCTTCCCAGTTTATGGTGAAGAAGCTGCTTTTCCACGTTGAACTTGGAGTTACGCATATGGAGCAGAAGCTCGCCGAGTTTAGAGCCCGAAGACAGGCGGGAAAAGGCATGAAAAAGTCCGAACCTGCTGGTCCTCAGCCCGGAGAACAGAGAGGAGAGCCTGCTGGTCCTCAGCCCGGAGAACAGAGAGGAGAGCCTGCTGTTCACCCTGACTGCAGTCATCAACCAAAGGTGCCAGAAGTCAGCCAAGCTGCGACCAGCAGCTCTGAAAACAGGGTAAAAAAATATCGCTACATGCAAACACATCAGCACAGTGAATATGAATTTAAATGAGAATTGTTCAAAAAATGCGACTAACTCAGTCCGAATTACAATAGATTAGTTGCATTCTAAAGGTTTCTGCAAGTGTAAGAAAATATGCAAACATTATTTTAAATCTGCCTATAAAATGAAATATCAGAATAATTCAAAAGTATGTCACATTAAAGATAGACATAAAACATGAAACATATATCCTGGCTTCAAGTTAAAAACTTGAAGCCAGGATATATGTTTCATAAATAATATATTCTATGAATTCCCTGTCGTTGTCTTAGTCTTCTAAGTGTTTACACCTCTTAAACTTTTTCAACATATGCCTTGTTTTTTGAATGTTTTAATTGTTGATTTATCTAATAAACAAACAAAAATCAGTGCCTAAGTGGAATGGAAAGAAAATTCTACATGGTCTTAAGAACATTTACACTTGAAAACCTTTAAAATGTCATTCAACAAACCTTAGCCACATTTTGCTTCATTTTCTGTTTCAAGTCTGTTGGCAGTGTATTTCTATCAGAATCACATGCCTACAGGTTGAAGTTCTTATTTTTTTTCTTTTGTAACCTGGGCAATGCTCAGTCAGGTTAAATGGAGAGGTTTTGTAAATAATCCATTTTAAAGTTTTTGCACAGATCCTATTCTTTCCTCTTCACAATTCTACACTTTTGCACAAGTAACCAACTTTATGTTGCTCTAGAACATAAATGGAAATCATTTTGTGTTTATGTGACTGTATAAGAAAAACTTCAAGTTTAAAAGTATATAACACTGTTTGTGGCATATGTGTAAACAATTAAAATAATATTAATTTTAGTATTTGTGTACGATGTTTTCAATCAGCTTATATTCTGTAATCCTGGGAGCTACTGACCTTCCATCATGTGTCCTGCAGGACTGTAGGGACTGGCTGCTAGACAGTACTCTGGGACGATGGTTTGCTTCAAAACAGCTGATTCTCTCCAACATTATGTTGCTCAAAGTGCTGCTGTGGCTGGTTCTGTTGTGTCTTTTTGTTGAACTGGAATTCGGACTGCCTTTCTTCGTCATCTCCCTGTTCTACTGGCTCTATGAAGGACTACGCAGCCCAGAACCTAGAAAGCCAGGAGAACTGAGTGCTTACTCTGTCTTCAACCCAGACTGTCAGCCTCTCCTTGGCTCACTCACTGCTGAGCAGCTGGAGGGTGAGATGGGCTACAGACCTCTGGCCAACAGATAAAGTGCTTGTCACTTGCATAACTGAAGGGCATAAATCAAGATCTTTCTTGTTTGGAAAAAGGATTATGAACTGTATTTCTTATGTATCTATTGCACATTAAATTAACGCTGGCATACTTATTATTTTGTTCCCTTCTATGCTGCAACATTTTAGGAACCTCAGATGTAAATGTGTATAAAACCTTTATCCACATTGGTCTTCTCACTGTTTGCCTTTCAAACATTAATTAACTTGATTGCTGAAACTTCCCTAAATGCCAGGGATAATTTGGGGACTGCTCTTATTATATATATTTTTTGGGGATCAGAGTTTGTTTTTAGTTCTGTTTGTTTTAATTTACAATCAGCTTTATTTGCCAAGTTTGTGCTTGCAAACAAGGAGTTTGACTTTGGTTCCACTTTGGTCTCAATGTGCAGACATTTCAATGTAAACATGTCAAATTGGAGGAAAATAAATAGTTTTCTGTTGTTTTATTTTCAAACATGGATATGCACTATTTTATTTTCAAATATGGATAAGCACTATTTTTGCAAAAGAAGATGATAAATTATTGAAGTATTGATCTATGCACCCTGGTAAATTATGTGTCTTGTTTATCAATAAATTATTCTTTTCGACATCACTAATCTTAAATAAGTCTTATACAAATGCTAAATGCTAGACCCTGAATAGGTCTGACAATAAAGCTATACTATCTCAAAAAGTATGAAAAAATATTTCAGTTTCCAGACTATACTGCTTATTGCCTAATCTGGAAGATGAACAAAAAGGAATTTCTAAACTAATTTTTTTTTTTTTTTTGCTAATTTATACACTGTTGTCCAGAAAGTGAAAAAAATATCACATTCTTTTGACTTTTTTTAAGCACAGTTTAATTTTTAATGCATTAAGAAATAAGGTATGTACATATCTGTCAAGTAGAAATACCAATGTTGCAATCAGTTTATAACACACGCATTGTTTTCAAATGTATGAAGAACATGTAATTCAATGGTATTTTTTGGTTATTTCCCTGACTTCAATATTTGTCCGACCTATTTTTTGATTGCAAACTGCTATATATATTTTTTCTGCCATATATATTTTCTATTAAAAATAATAATAATGAAAAAGGTGAATTTTACAGTTTGTAGAATCTGGACCTTTTTGTGAGGTGAGGATTTAAAAATGATCCCTGTGGTGATTAAACTTCAGTTTATGTTTTGCTTTAAATAATCTGTATTCAAGTCCAGATTTGAGATATTTAGAGTTTGGATTTTGCAGCTGCAAAAAAAATAAACCTGTGCAATTCACCACACGGTGTATTGGAAGTGTATTACTATTTCATAATTTGTGAAACAGAAAAATAAAACCCAAACTGATGCTCGTTCTGATCATCACTCCTTACCAGGTGGTGGCGGTAAAGTACCGTAATGTCTTCCAGGTGCCATTAAAGACCACAGTAAGAGGAAGAAGAAGATAGTTCACTCCTATCTACTTCCGCGTTGGTCCAAACGCACTTCTACAAGTACATGTTTACCTTTCACTTGAAAAATGCGTTACAACAGTTAACTTTATAAAATCTTGTTAAAGGCCTCCCCCTGGTCTAAGGTAGTTCATATTAAGCCGCTGCATTGCTGGGGGACTCAAAGTACAGTTAACTCTCCGTTTCCAGTCAAAGATCTGATACATTCACAAAACTGGTGCGGCAACTACTTCTGTTTTCTTCACCAGTAAGTAATGACCCTGTTTCCAATTTGGTATTTCTCAAATGTAAGCTAGTAACTGGCACCGATAGCTATTGAGTTAACTGAACTAACAGATCTAGAATCCCAGATTAACCATCTAATCTATATATCTAAAGTGAACGAATGAAAAATGGTTTGTAGTGCTGTTACAACCACTAGCATGTAACACATATTTGGTTCATTTGGTTGTTCTGTTTACATAAATGCAAGCAGTACAATCCTTCATGTGGGCCTATTTGTTAGGTAATGGCCAAATCTGTGTGGTTAAGAGATATTGCCTTGAGACAACAAGCAGTTGTATAGATAGGTGTTTATTAGATCCGGATCAATGTTCAACAGAGAAAATAATTACAAGCAGTTATGTGTTTGAATATCCCATGCTTGCCAAATTTACAGACTTGATCAGTAATAAATGTGTTTGTTAGATGCTAAGGTTTCTTTTCCTCTTTGTTGGTTGTGCAATAAGCAATATTGCACAAACAATAACTTAACTATTATATTTTTATACATTTTTGCCATTACTTGTGTTATATACCAGTCTGAAGATGCATTAAAGTTTCTGTTTTTCATGATAGAATATTCAAATATCAAGCAAAACTATTCAGAATATGTCTCATGTCACTTTCCTTACTGTTTTCTAGCAATCGACTATTTCAAAATGTCTGGTAATCCTGCTGTGGTTATGCGGCTGGTTGCGTCCGCCTATTCAGTGGCTGAAAAGGCCGGGGCCATAGTAAGGAAGGTGCTTCACAGTGGAGATCTTGGCATTGTTGAAAAGGTGTTGCATTTACTTTTTAAAGTCAGATAAGTAGAAAAAAAAACAAACATGTTTTCTTGAGCAGAAATGAATTTTTAAGCATTTATGTTGAATATATATTTGCACCTTTTGCACAGACAGGAGCCAACGATCTGCAGACACTCGCAGACCGACTTGCACAGAAAAGCATCTGTGCTTCACTGTCCAGACGTTTCCCCAATGTCACCATCATTGGAGAGGAGGTAACTATATGTGCAGCTTCATTTAGAAAACATGCACTGATCAAACTAAACCAGCACCTCAAAATGTCTGTTAATTACGTAATTGCAGGATCTTCCATGTGAGGAGGTCCAGGGGGATATGATTGAGAATGGCCAGGCAGAGGAAATCCTTCAGAAGAGCTGTCCAAAAGAGTATGAAGCATTAAAAGAAGAAGAGGTAACTACAAACAAATAAATAATAAAATCCTTTTATGATGATGATGATTATTATTATTATTGTGCATACATTTGAAAGCCTTCTCCTTAAGTGTGAACATGCTTAATTGGAATATGTTTGTGTTCATTTCAGCTTGTTGTTTGGGTTGATCCCCTTGATGGCACCAAAGAATACACTGAAGGTAAGGCATGTGTTCAAAAAATCCGTGCTCTCAACTTGAGCTTTCAGTTTTCTTAATGATATGAGACACCTTGCAATAATAGATAGCAAATAAATAGTACCACCTTGCACCTCAACTTAACCTCTCAGCATGGATTTCATGTTTGTTTTTGTTGCAGTTTAGTCTTTGTGCACCAGTTTGTTGGCTGGTTTTTGGTTTTCTTCCCTTGCTTCACCATCACCTTTACAGTGTTTGTGTTCCTTCCTTTGTGCGTCCTTGGGCTTTTCTCCTATCGTCCTCTTTCTTGTCCTCTCTTTGCTGCCTTCAGCCTCAAGTTGTCTCCATCTACAAGCTGTTGACCAGAAACCAAGCAAAGAGTTGGACAAGACTCACAGCACAGCTCTCCGTACGGCAGTGTAGACAGTGCACTTTTAATGGCACTTCAGATTTATTTGCCAATGATAGAAAGGGTGATAGAATATTTTATTTTCTTCAAATAACATTCCTCCTATTCTGGATTTAGGGCTCTTGGATAATGTGACAGTTCTCATTGGCATTGCATATGGAGGCAGAGCAATTGCAGGCGTCATAAACCAGCCATTCTACAATTACCAGGTGCAAACCAAACTATAAATTATCCACGGCTTTGCTTGAGTAGACGCCATCGGTAGGTTATTTTGACGGTTTTCTCTCCAGCTTGGATCAGGAGCTGCTTTAGGGAGGACAATATGGGGAGTTCTCGGATTGGGCGCCTTCGGGTTCCAGCTGCAGGAAGTTCCAGCCGATAAGCGAATTGTCACCACTACCCGTTCCCATAGCAACAAGACGGTAACAGACTGCGTGAACGCCATGGAGCCTCACGACGTTATAAGAGTCGGGGTGCTGGAAACAAGGTGAGGTGCTTTTACTAAACTTTTAGATGTGGGCTGTATTTTAAGCACTCCTGTTAATTGACTCCACATTTTGCAGATAATCCAACTTATTGAAGGGAGAGCATCTGCTTATGTGTTTGCCAGTCCAGGCTGCAAGAAATGGGATACATGTGGTCCCGAGGCAATCCTGCATGCCGTCGGAGGTAAAACTCTTATCGTTTAAGGAATGGAAAAGGCTTATCTCTCACCAGATGGACTCTTAAGGTGAAAGGATATCAACGTTTTTGTTTTTCCTCCTGCAGGAAAACTGACTGACATGTTTGGGAATCCTTACCATTATAATGCAGATGTAAAGCACATGAACTCCGCTGGGGTTCTTGCTACACTACGCAACCATGATTACTACGTCAGCAGAGTGCCACAGTCTGTGCTGCAAGCACTGAAGTCAGATTGAGTTCGGTCATGATGTGCTTCTGGAATTTTGGCCCGATAAGTTTTGGTAGATGAATTCTTGACTCCATCAATAACAGTTCAAGTACTGAAGAATCAAAACGGCCCCAGATCATCACACTGACACCGCCGTGTTTGACGATTGATATTTTCTGAAATGCTTTTTGTTTTATGCCAGTCATGACGGGACACAAACCGAAATTTTTCCACGTCTTTTCTCGCAATATTTTTGCAAAAGTCTCTTGGGGCATTGTGATACTTTTTGACCAATGTGAGACAGGTCCTAGTATTTTAGCATCCAGCCTGTTTTTGTTCAGTCTTTTTTTTTTTTTTCTTGAGGGATTTTGGTGTTGTTCTGGGTTGGATGAACAGCTGTTGGAGTAACCTCTCTTGGCTCACCACCCCTGTGAACATTCAACAGTATTTAATTTTTTCTCCATTTGTGAATAATTTCTTTCGCTCTGGTTCCATGGACTCTCATTGCCTTTGTAACCCGTTGCAGCCTGATTGATGTCAGTGACTTTGTTCTACATGTCCTCTTGAATTTCTGTAGATCACAGCATGTTGTGTTGCTTTTTGAGATTTTTTAGTCTTTCATTTTCGAGAAATAGTTTTCTCTAAAAGTGATTACTTGATTTTACAGGTCTGGCAGTAATCAGACCTGTAAAATCTGATTACTGCTGGTGAAATTGAACTCGGCCTCTTTCCAAAAATTGGCTTAGCTACATAATTTTACAAGTGAAAAAAAAAGCAAAATCTTTTTTTTTTCCTGGAATCTTAGCTGGACGTAAAGACAAAACATACTGACTTAACCCCTGTGACCGAAACGTTTTTTACTCTGATGGTATTATTGTTTAAAAGAACTATATTTTTGTAATATGTTTTTGCTGTATTTGGTTGCAGAAAACATTCACCAACTGCTGCTTTCCAAATAAATTATAGGAACGGGAGCAACATGTAGAGGAAAAAGATTCAAATATAAAATATTAACAGACTCAATGATTCTAATCTAACATTTTAATAAACAGCAGTCATAAAAGGTGCCAAAATTAACTCCTTAAAACTTGCAAATATTTGATTGTTGCCTTTGTTGTAAATATGAATTTGAAGTTTTTGTGAGAATTTATCAGTTTGTGAGCTTTTTATGATACCTGTTTAAAATAGACAAATACATGATGACATTTAGAAACATATTTTGTATTAATCAAGTAAAAATCATGAAATATAGAAAGGTAAAACAAACCAAATAAATTTTGTCATTTCTCTGATGAATTTAACAGTAAACAAATTTACACAAATGTTTGTTTTCCTCTTATTTGTCATAAATGTCAAATAAAAAACAGATTTTAACAAAAAAACTGTTAGTCTGTTTTCTTCTGTTTTCAGTCAGTATAAAAACAGTCAGGAAAGATTTTTGTATCTGTTATTTTTAATAAATAAAAAAAAAATCAGATTTTTACTATTAAAGGTTATACTGCAGCAGATTATCATAATTTTTTTACTTGCTTATAGATCAACTTTGCCCATTAGTTTGTATCTGTCAACACAAATATGAAATAAAAAGTGATTAGTATTATCTAAAGATGTTGATGCAGCTTTTTAATGAAGAACCAACTGAAACTTTGCAGGTTAAAGAGAAATAAAACCAACACAGTTCTGCAAGTCAGACAAAATTAAACATTTTTATTCTATTAATAAATGAATGTGAAGATGGTAAATTGCAAAACATACATTTATGCACGTTCATTACATCAGCATGCAATAAGACTTAATGTTTAGTTACCAAACTTCAGACAAGCTGAGCAACCAGAGGGAGCTAACTGTAGTTTAACCGCTGCTGACGAAAGCCAACCAGCGAAGCCTGTAATCTTATTACCAAATTAGAGAACCATTATGAGGGTCATTATTGTAAATTTTTTTTCATGTCCATAAATAATGTTATAACTTTAAAACCCAGTTTCTTTATTTTGGGCAGCTTTTGCACTCTTCTTGCTTTTTTTGCGTTGAACGACGGACATAATGCACCAGCTCATAAAGAGGCCTACCAGAAAACACCCAAATCCCACAACCACTGGTACCCACACAGGGATGGGAGTGGAACACTTTGGCTGTATGGTGGAACTGATTTCTCTGGTTGTGATGATGCTGCCTGGATCAACAGTAGTCTTGGGGAGTGGTGCTTGGCTGTTACTTTTAGTGAAGATAAAGGGGGACGCCTGCAGGGAGAGGTGAAATTATTATAAAATGATTAAAAAAATTATTAGATGAGACAGATCGAAGACGAAGTTATGTGTTGACGGAGCTTTCACTGTTAAATATATCTATGTTGCTCATTAGGCAACATTAAACAACGTAAATTAATGATTGAATCGTGCAACTGTTACATTGAGGGAAAAAAAAAATCGAAGCACATTGGAGTAAAATATTAATACAGCATTATCCTGTTACATGAAGTTTCAGTCAGAAATGTATGTTCCAGGCCTTTAGTTCAAACATTAAGATCTACATATAACCCCACACAGATTTGAATAAAAATCTCTTAGCAAGTTACCTTAAACACACAATTTCTGTAACCATTACCAAGCTTTAGGCACTATTTTCCATGGATATTTGACTGTACTTGTCAGTAACAGGGGTGTTAATTTATGGCTATGTCTAGAAGGGATTTATGTACAAGAAAATGAAGTCTTTAACCTTAATAATTTTTTAATATCCAATCAGTGCTTTAAAACTACTCAATGGACAAAGTGCTGAACACAAATATAAAATCTATTAAAATGAGCAGTATTCGGGAGATATTTTTCAGTATGTCTCTCCAATAATAATAATCCTGCACAAATCTGTGGGAGATCTATGAATACCTCAGAGGGACAGTGAATCTTGGCACGGTCATGTGTGAAGTTGTTGTAGGCTTGCTTCCTGCCAACCGGCTCCAGCTGGAACAGAAAAAAAAAACAAACATACATTTCTCTTAAAAAAGCTGAAGTGAATTCACTCTATCTGTGTTTGGTTCACAAGTGCGGATATCTCACCATGTTGTTCCACAGTGCGATGGCCATCTCTGCATGAGCCCGTTCACTCAGGTGGAAACAATCAACAGAGAAGAAACTCGTGTCTGTCTCGCCCACCTGGTGAATATCAGTTTGTCCAACATTATTTGATTTTACCAACTAATATTACGTCTTACGTTGTTTTAGTTAAGAGACTTACTCCAGTTTGAGGGATGAAGGAATAGTGGAAAAAGGGTTGCAACACAACAGCAAAGTCTTCTTTTCCATCGTAACGATCTCCATAAATTAGATACTCAATCTCAGTCTGGAAAACCAAAGTTCTTTTGTTCATCATCATATTGGAAAATAATTCAAATATTTTTCTTTTTAGAAAACACAGCTTTTAGCTTTTACCTGGTAATTTCGATTGATTCGTTTTAGTTCCTCAAACTGTGGAGCGTTGTTTGCTGGATTGATAACACAGTGACAGCTGGACCTGTAAAAAGACATCCAATGTTTCTTTTCTGGCAGTGCAAACAAAGTGTTGTGAAAAGATATAAAACAATTTGGAAAATTCAAACTGAGTCGATAAAATAATAACGAGTAATCTTTTGCAGTTCATGGTGATCCTATAAGCAAAGTTTCACATACATTTGCTATTCATAAAATGTTACAGCAAATGGCAATAATTGGACTCTGAAATATATGTTTCTCTCCTTTCAATTAATTTTTTTCATCCACTGTCATTTATTAATATTTAACTGCAGCCATTAAAACCACAATGTGTGCAGTCAAAGATGAGCTATAGAGAACTAACCTCTGCTGTAGTGAGCAGCCCAGTGTGTTGTTTTTAACAGTTTTAAACACATCCATCTGCATGAGATCCACCAGATTTACCAACACCCTTGGTACCTGGAGAAAACCACAGCAAGAAATGGGAAGATAATTATAATTTACTTCATTGTACGTGAAATACATAACATATGTATTTTAGTTTTTAACTCTTACCTCTTCGTAAAGCATGTCCAACGTAAGCATGAGATTGTGGCTAAATTTCTTTGGCGACAAATTTTTCTGCAAAGAATTGAGTGAACAATATGTTATAACACCGTAATAAAGTGCTATTTATTCACCATATGGAAAACTTACTTGATCGTAGCAGTAATGACAAAGATCTGTTGTTCCGATGAAAATTGTCACAAGTTTCCAGTCACTTTCAAAATTCACTTCCTGTGTTGAAAACATGCTAATTTTGAGGATGGAGAACAGATCAGGAATGCAGAGAGTTTTAAAGGTCAGAGGAAAGTCTCACCTTGTTTTCTTTCATGGCCTTAATGAGAGCTTGGACTTGTGCAGGAAGCTCTCTGAGACAGAAAAGAGACATCAGAAGATATTAGCAAGATTAAACAGCTTTACTCTGCTGGAGAAGCAAGACAAAAAAATGCATACGAGGTCTTTGCTCCAGCAACAGCCATGTTGAAGCCCTTTTGCAGTTGCCCTTGTCCTTTAGAGGAACCCTTTAGATCAGGGTTGAACTTCTTCAAGATGTCTGGCAAGATGCAATGAAAGAAAGAGAAGCGGGTGCAAGAAAATCTTAAATTATTAACCTTTTTTCAAAGTATAGTTGTTCTCTCCATTAAATAGTCAAAATTATGACCATCCTACACTTTAATAAAACTACAATGGACTAAAATATTCAGTTTTATAAAAGTAATACAAAATGCAAACTGAATCTAGTTAGAAAGTTTGATCCAGAAACAGTCATTTTCAACAAACTCACTTGGTAGTGTTGTGACAGTCTCCAAAGTTTGATCCCCTCCAATACTGCAGGATATAATGCAATCAAATATTATATGATTTGGCTCAAATGTAAATGTGAAAAGTTAGTTAAAATGAAAATATTACCTCCACGATACTCCCTTGAATTCTGTATTAAGATTGAGAATGCTGGTTGATTTTGCACCAGTTCCTGCCTGTTGAGTGAGGAACACAGAAAATGAAGTAAGATGTTTAACAGGATTAGGATAGCAGAATAAACACATCCACAAAATTTATAATGCTGATCAAACACTGAGTACAAAGTTCAAAAGTGCTGGAATTATTTTAAAAAATCATAAATGTTGCCAATAATTAAATTTGGCGTAAGAGAACTTTCTGTTTTCTATTTTTAAGTGTAGAGTTGTAGAGGTCTGTGTTTTCTGGTACTTACTGTTACAGAGTCTCCCAGAGCTGCGACCACCTGAATATCTGACGGTCTCAGCTTGTGGACTAAGGACAAACACAGATTAAGTCAGAAAGAGAAATTCGGGCTTCAACTCAATAAAAAGCAGTAATAGTGATTTGCTCTTAGATTAAAAAGAAAATTTACTTCTGAAAGTCCTTCTGTAACCCATTACATCTTTAGAAAGAATAACCAAATGAATCCTGACTGATGTGTGATGACAGTCTCACCTGAAGTTGGTTGACTGTCAGAGGGAGCCAAGTTCTTGCATGAAAAATCGCTTCCCCAATTCTAAGGAAAAGACACATATAATTAATATGCTTTTGCATTTGCAGTTTAAGAGAAGAAAACTGGACTACAAAAATATTGAAGTAAAAATCCACAAAACTCTTGACATAAAAAATAGAGAGCTGCTGAGGACAAAGGCCTGCATTGCATCTCTATTTGTTGATCATTTACGATTTTTTCATTCAGTTGGAATGAACCCTTTCATTCATTTTTGATAAAAGCAAAGTAAACATGATAAACTTACCGTAATAGGATCAGGTTTGGGGGAGGGTGCAGAATACATGTAATCACTGTTCTGATATGTTCGAATAAAGGGGGAGTCCTGAAGAGAGAGAGAGAAAACTGTTTGTAAAAATGTCAAGACCATAAACTGTATTTCAAAAACACTATTCAATTAGAATATAAATGTACGGTACTTTTCTAATCTCACAAGATTTGTACAAAAATATATTAACTTCCATACATTTGTTGAGCATTTCAGTCCAGTAACAGAATTAAAGTCCTGCCTGGAGGTTTTGCTTCCCAGAGGTTCCAGCTGTGAGGGGAAAAAAAAGACAGGCAAGCAACATTTATGGTCATTCATGATGAAAAACATTATATCATTTTTATTTTCTTTAAAAAGGTACAGAAATGTGTGGTTTATTCACCATGTTGTTCCAAAGAGAACGAGCCATCAGTGTTTGGGATTTCTGGCTCAGATGAAAGCAGTCAGCGCTGAAGTAAGACCGATCTGCACGGCCATCCTAAGCAAGATGAATCAAATCAAATTTAAAATGCATTGTGTCCCTTTTCATGGCTTAAACAGTTCTACCTAAATGCTTTAAGAATTTCCTTTCAGTATGTTTCAGACTGTTTTGAAACTGAATCAAGGTTATAGTGGTTTCCAGAATTATTGATGCCTTTGATATAGAAAGACTAAAAAAAAAAAAATCATATTCATCAGTAAGATTATCTCATAATAATTTTTGGGAAAATCTAACCACCTTAATTATGGGTTTATTAAGTCAATGGAAAAAAAAAAATCAGGAATATTTTGGAATATTTTCAGGAAAATAAATGTAAATGTGT